AGATGCATGGCTGTTGTGGGAGGATGGGGATGGGGATGGGGATGGGGAGGGTGGTAGGGGAAAGCAGAGAGGCAAAGCGAGAGAACAGTTGTGTTTTTCGTATTTTGATTGAATTTTCTTCATATTTTATTGCACCTAAGCAAAAAAGTTGGCCATGCACATGACACCTCATCGCTTAACAGATTTTCTAACGGTCAATCTATCGGCAAAGTCACATTGGCTAATAGTGCTACAAACAGGGACCAAAGTAGCCAAATTAAAAACACATGGACTAAATTGGCCAATGGACTAAAACATAGGGACTATTTTAGCATTTAAGCATTTTTTTTAAAGCCTGTAAAATTCACCTATTCACAATGGTTGTTCAATAGTTCAATGCAATGATACAGTTCAATAGCTTCATATCAATAGTTATATCTATTTACACTTTCTTTTTTACATAATTAAATAAAATAAAATGGATAAATTGAATAATAATAAAAATTGTACGATTGCAATATTCTCAAAGATCTTTAAAAAGAGACCAATTTTGAATATATTTGAATTTTTTTATTTATTTTATTGCATTGAACTATTGAACAACCATTGTGGATGCTCTTAACAACATAATGCACTAATTGCTTTTATTTCAATTTTGTATTGGCATGTGGGTCCCATGGTTAGCCTATTGCAATTGCAATAAAGGGTTCATCATATAGCACCCTCTATAGCAATTGCATTTATTGCAATGAACTAAATCACACAATTGCAAGTAAGATTTTACTATTTTAGTTCAATTTCATTAAATAAAATTGCATTGATCTTAACCATAGTATCTACAATGGTGAGGGTCGTTTCAATTTTATTTCAATAAATTGAACTTTTGGCTTGCAATGGTAAAGTTCAATTCATTTCAAAGATTAATATTTAATTTCAAGGATCAATAGTTCATTTCATAGGTCAATAAAATGAACTGTGAAATGAAATTCATTTTAATATGTTGGCCCACCATAATAACTCTACAGCCTCTCTCTTATTCACACATGAACACCATACTTTCTACTTTTTTCATTACATTTAATTAGTGTAAACTAGCCGTTGCAAGTGAGACCGCAGTTCAGTTCAATGGCTGCCAAAAACGTTCAATAACTTGAACTATTGAACTGAATTGGAATGAACTGTTGAGCAACCATTCCGGAGGCTCTTATAATTACATCATTTAGAAGGCGTATTACCTTTTTCGCACTTTCGTTTGTGTCTCCCCTGAAATCTTCTCTCTCTCTCTCTCTCTCCCTCTCTCTCGTTCACTCTATGGTGTCTCTCCGGTTCGATCTCTCCTATCCTCTCTTCCTTTATTGCTCTCTCTCTCTCTCTCTCGTTCACTCTATGGTGTCTCTGCGGTTCGTTCTCTCCTATCCTCTCTTCCTTTATTGCACAGCGGGTTATTCATCAAGGTTAAAGTACAAAATCTCTCTTCCTCACCCTTTGTAACTGTAATTTCAAATTATGATTGTAGTTTAGTGTTTGTAAGAAATGGATTTGTATACCCCTACCTAATTTGAGTTAGGGTTGTGGTTTCAGAACAATTGTGGTTTATGAGTTCTTTTCATATAAATTTTGGTAAGGGGAAACATGCTTTTGTGTGGCATAACTGGGGAAGAATGAGTGAAGCAAATTAAACTTTACCTGATTTGTTTACACCATGATCAACCAAGTGTATTCAGCATTAGACAGGCACACCAACGGCCAAAAGGAAAGAAACAATCCGAAAAGAACATATCAGCCTGCAGAAGACAAGTGATATCACCACCTTCTTACCTGCCAAAGGAAAGCCTCCTTCCAAGGCGGCAACTACCTGCCGAAGCTCCTAACTACAGAACCTAGTTTATAGGGACATGTGTCGTCTCCACAGCAGTTTGCACAAAGTCCCACATTGAAACTTTGTGCAAAACACCCCTTTTTATTTTCCTATAAATAGGGAACAAATCCTGAGTAAAATGGGTTACTACTTTCTCACATTTACTGTTACTCTGCCAAAATTACCACATATAGCTAACTTAAGCATCGGAGAGCCTTCGGCAAGCACCAAACCAGTGTCTGAAGCTTGACGATCGCTTCTTCCTTATTTTCTTCTGCAGGTCTCACTCGTGCCGAAGGTTTCGAAACCTTCTCGCCTTGCTGAAGATCCACCACTCCCCTACCTAAGTTGACCTTCCCCAAAAGGAGCATCAACATGATTAATAGATGAGCCTTTTCGTTCCTTTAATATATTTAGGTATCAAACTCCATTCAGTCCTGGATGTTAATTGTTCTTTTTACCCAATTTGGATTTAATGTTGTACGCGCTAGAGCTTTTGTAAAGTAATTTTGCAGAATTTTAATGTATGGTTGTGTTTCTGAAATTGAATAGAAAGCATGGAAAAACATGCTTCTCAGGAAAAAATATCGAAAAAATTCAGCGTGGTTTTTCTCACGAAGGTTCCGAAAAAAAATTCCTACAAAGAAAGAGTTTATGTAGAAAAAGTTATGTGGAGTTCATAATTGCATAAAAGGAGTCAAAGCCCTTCTATAGGTTGGGCAAGGGCCGGGTGGATTACCTTTCATTTAAGGAGAATGTAACTCTCCCTTAACCATGCCATCAGTTTGGATAATCAAAATAAATTTTACTTGAAAAAAATTAATTTAACCAAACCACTTCCAATGGTTTAGGGTTAGGGGAATGTAATTCGCTCCTTTAACCATTAATTTCATATTGGATCGGATAAAAAAAGTTTAAATTAAAAAAATTAATTTACCAAATCAAACTAAACCATCAGTTTGGTATAGTCAATATGTAGATTTTTTTGGATCAAATGCCCGCCTCTACTCACAGTTTTCCAGAGTTAATTTGGTTTATTCAGTGATGGGCCTTGATAATGAGCTAGCTCAAATGTGATATGATTATTTCTTTTCCAACTTATATTTACTTTTGTCATTTTTTTTCTCCCCTCAGATTGGATGTCGTTGGTGAGGAGTGCGCCATATCATCTTTTTATGAAGTTTTGTTTATATTGGTTTTATACCCTGTTGTTGTGATCTGGCTACGAGTGGGCATCGAAACTGCAAAATTGGCAAATTGAGCTGAATTGGATTGAAAAAAAAAAACGGTTAAAAACCGAATAGACAAAAAAGTCAACAGAAAGTAAAAACTCAAACCAAATCGATTCTCAAACCAAATCGATTCTGGTGCCGATTTCACATCTCAGAAAATTGGATCAGACCAAACTGAATCGGTCAAATTTATTATTATTATTATTTTAATGATATAGCCCTTTATGCCTATTTTAGAGCCCAAATCATTTAAGTTCAAGAGCCCAAATGAAAGCACATCTTTTTTCCTCTTCTTTTCGTTCTCTCTCTCTCTCTCTCTCTCTCTCATTAGCACTTCCATAGATGTCAATAGCCCTTGCAAAAGGCCCCTGGGCTTGAAAAACCCACTCCAACAATGAATTGCAGCCTGGCAAATTGAGCTAAATTGGATTTTTTTTTAAACGGTTAAAAACCGAATTGACAAAAAAGTCAACAGAAAGTAAAAACTCAAACCAAATCGGTTCCAATCGATTCTAGTGCCGATTTCACATCTCGGAAAATTGGATCAGACCAAACCGAATCGGTCCAATTTATTTTTATTATTATTTTAATGATATAGCCCTTCATGCCTATTTTAGAGCCCAAATCATTTAAGTTCAAGAGCCCAAATGAAAGCACATCTTTTTTCCTCTTCTTTTCGTTCTCTCTCTCTCTCTCTCTCTCTCTCATTAGAGCACTTCCATAGATGTCAATAGCCCTTGCAAAAGGCCCCTGGGCTTGAAAAACCCACTCCAACAATGAATTGCAGCCTGGCAAATTGAGCTAAATTGGATTTTTTTTTAAACGGTTAAAAACCGAATTGACAAAAAAGTCAACAGAAAGTAAAAACTCAAACCAAATCGGTTCCAATCGATTCTAGTGCCGATTTCACATCTCGGAAAATTGGATCAGACCAAACCGAATCGGTCCAATTTATTTTTATTATTATTTTAATGATATAGCCCTTCATGCCTATTTTAGAGCCCAAATCATTTAAGTTCAAGAGCCCAAATGAAAGCCCATCTTTTTTCCTCTTCTTTTCGTTCTCTCTCTCTCTCTCTCTCTCTCTCTAGAGCACTTCCATAGATGTCAATAGCCCTATCACAAATGGTCCCTGTAATTTTTTTAAATTTTTTTAATTTAAAAGTCATAAAATTTTGGTTTTCTTTTTTAAATCTTATGAATTTAAAATTATTTAAAAATATATATTGTATTTTAAATACACATGACACTATATTATTTTAGATGTGGGCTCCACATATATGTCACATCAACAAACTAATGGAGTTTTTTTTTAAATAATTTAAAATTCATAAAATTTAAAAATGAAAAAACTAAGGGTATGGTTCATAAGTGGTCCTCAAGGTTAAAATCCTTATATAAACGGTTTTTTCATTTTAAATTATGTTTTTAAAAAAACTTCATTAGTTTGTTGATGTGGCATATATGTGGAGCCCACGTCTTAAAAAAATATAGTGTCATATGTATTTAAAATACAATATATATTTTTAAATAATATAAAAAAGAAAACCAAAATTTTATGAATTTTAAATTTAAAAATTTAAAAATTTTGCGGGAACCATTTGTGATATATGCCACGTCAGCAAATTCTATGTGAATAGTAATTGCCTTTGAATCTCTCTCTCTCTGTTTCTCTCTCTCCTTAACAAGCTCGTGGCGAGAGCCACCCACCAAGGGGATGAAGGGTTTGCGATTTGGGGGCGCCTTCACTTTTCTTATTTTATTCACTTTTCATACTATATGAAAATGACATATGTAACCTTACAGTGTACCGTTGCATTGTACACCGCATATAATTTAGTTTGCCCAAAATAGTCGCTACACAATCAAGTCTTGGTATATCACGTGTTTTATATATTATTTTTTATATCATTTCTTCTGTTTGTATCTGTTGAGCAAGTCTTTCTTGATCATTTCTGTGGTATAGCAAAGTCTTTCTTTATCATTTCTGTGGTATAGCATCTCTATGTAACTCTCTCTCAGTGTTTGTATCTGCCGAGCAAATCTCACAAGCGCAGCCAAAAATGCTGCTTACAGGTATGTTTCCAAAACTGAGTTCTAATCCTGTCCATCCATTTATGTCATGATATTCTTGATTCTTTCATATATCGAAGTTAGAACTACTTGTTATTATGACTTCAAATTTTTTTTTTGGGGTTTTTTTTTGCCCTTTTTTTTTCGCGGTTACAAGGAGAATTATGACTTTACATTTTCTTCCTGCGGCTGTGTGAATAGATTAAAATTTTTTTCTTCTTCCAGCTCTGAGCAGTTGGGTTTTTGTGGAAAAGAGGAGGCTCATTGAGGTGTTTCCGGAGCATGTTCAGAAACTATGGAATCTTTGGGAGCTAAGAGTGATGGTTTTGATCAGCCTCACCTTGCAGATTTCACTTATTCACTTTGGCAGCCGCAGGAAGTATAACGTCAAAACCAAAATAAGAGTCTTCCTCTGGTTTGCCTACCTAATGGCAGATTGGGTAGCAACTGTTTCTCTTGGTGTCCTCTCCCAGAACCAGGGAAAGTCCAGCAGCTGCGATGCCAAAGGGGGTTCTCCGGGAGGCGACAAACTAGACGACGAGCTCTCTGCTTTCTGGGCACCGTTTCTTTTGTTGCATCTTGGCGGCCCAGACACAGTCACAGCTTATGCTTTGGAAGACAATGAGCTGTGGTTGAGGCACTTGCTTGGACTGGCTGTGCAAGTAGGTATTGCGCTATACATCTTTCTTATGGCCTGGAAGATTAGCTGGCTTTCAATTCTTACTATTCCCATTCTTCTTTCTGGGCTTATCAAGTATGGAGAGAGGACATTGGCCCTGAGATCAGCAAATCGCGAAAAGTTTCGTGATTCAATGCTCACTCGTCCTGATCCGGGACCCAACTATGCAAAATTCATGGAGGAATTTTCTTTGAAGAAAGCTGAGGGGTACAAAGTGAGTGCTGAAGATGTTGAGGTTCAAGTTGGGGTGGATGAGGTTCATGTTGCAGTTGCCGATGTTGGTTCCAATTCTGAACCAAGCATAGTGGTCAAATCGCATGACTTGTTCAATACTTTCAAGCGCCTATATGTAGATCTCATCCTTAGCTTCGAAGATCGAGATGGTAGCCAAATCTTCTTCCAGAAGCTTGGCTCTTCTGAAACTGCCTTCAAGGTAGTTGAGGTTGAACTTGGATATGCCTATGATGTATTCTACACCAAGGCTCCCATAATTTATACTCGCCGGGGTTGTTTCTTCCGTACCGTCACTTTCTCCTCCACCTGTCTTGTGTTTGTGCTCTTCCTGATAAATGTGAGGCACAAGCACGCACTCACTGATTTGATTATTACTTACGTATTGCTGGTTGGCGCCATTATCTTAGAGATCTATGCGTTGGTTTTGGTAATTTCCTCTGATTGGACGACACTTTGGTTGAGCAAAACAAGTTGGTACGGTAAAACACCCTCTTCACAGCCTCCAGGTATCCGAAGAACACTCTCTTCACAAGTAACCAGTGTGGTTCAACAGGCAAAAAGGCAGAGGTGGTCAAATTCAACGGCTCAATTCAATTTGCTTAGCTTTTGTCTCAAAACTAAGCCTTCAATTCGTCGTGAAAGCCCAAAATCTGTTTGCATGCAGAAAGTGTTAGAGATGAAGTTGTACAAATTCCTAAACCAAATCTCTGATTACCTAAAGCAGTGGCTCTTCAGTCACTTACTGCACAAGTTGGATGAAAAATTGGAGATGTTCTTGTACTTCACTCGTGAGCCGATCTCCAATGAGTTAAAAGAACTTATTTTTCACCACTTCTTACAAAAATCGCAAACTAAGGGAAAGCTTACAGAGCTTTGTGCCGGTAGAGGGGACCTTGTCCTTGATCAGTTTAAGTTCCCTGATTTCATGACATGGACAACAGAAGTGGAATTCGACCAAAGCATACTTTTGTGGCATATTGCCACAGATCTCTGCCATCACTCTGATGCTACAAAAACTTCAGCCACAGAATATTTGCATCGTGAGGTGAGCATGCAAATAGCAGATTATATGATGTATCTTCTTGTCATGTGTCCCTTCATGTTACCTATAGGAATCGGACTGATCAGGTTTCAAGACACCTGCGCTGAGGCCAAGGAATATTTTGAACAAAGAAATCGCACGAGTTCAGTTAAAACTGAAGCTTGTGAAATGTTGCTTCGCGTAAGCACCGAAGTAAAGCCCGCCAAAGTGAAGGGAGACAGAAGCAAATCTGTATTATTTGATGCATGTAGCCTTGCATCATCACTTAATAACCAAAAAGAAAAGAAGTGGGAGATACTGAGCCAAGTATGGATTGAAATTCTAGGCTATGCCGCTAGTCATTGTCGAGGGAATTTCCATGCTCAACAGCTTAGAAGAGGCGGGGAGCTTCTTAGTCATGTCTGGCTCTTGATGGCTCATCTTGGAATCACAGAACAACTTCAGATATCACAAGGACATGCGAGAGTGAAGTTGATTGTGAAGTAGCAAAAGCTTGTCTCAAGCAACGACATAAGAAGTTTGGCAATGGTATTATTGCCTAACTGTGTCCAAAGTTCCAAATTCTTAGCAACAGTTAAATTGCAGAATATGTTTTGATTTGGCATGCCCTGTTAGCGAGAATATCCCAAGTGTTTCTTGTTGTACATGAAACTGCCTGAATGAAGAAATCTCATGCTCTTTCATTCATCTTCTTGCAAATTTTCAGTACGAAGCATTTCATGCTCTGAGATAAACGTTTTATAATCTGCTCCCATCTTCTTTTCGAAGGAACTGTGTCTGCATTATCTTCTATTAAACTAAGTAATTATTAAAAAGTAAAATAAAAGGGCCGAAAAGTTTAAAATTTGGAATTACAAAAAAAAAAAAAAAAAAAAAAACTTGAATTATTTTTACGAAAAAGACTATATATACTCAGGATCGACTTGGCCGTTTTTATAATTGTCCTAATGTTTGTTTTTTTTTTCCTCGTCAACAACAACAGCCTGAAACTTATTTGACAATTGTTCTTCTACTGTCTACATTACAACTTTGGCATCATTTTTCTCCTTTACAATTTTGGTAGAGGCACAGCTGGATTTAGACTATTTTAGTTTTCATCTCAGGAGGGTTGTTAGCTCCATTTGCTTCCTGCAGCAGACTACCAGTTTTAAGGACTCTTTCTGCTGCACAACAACAATAAGTTCACTTTCTTCTTCAGGCAAATTTACAGTGACCATTGATTCTTGGAACCACTCCATCACCATTTTGTTTGCCATGCTGCGACTCACATATATAAACATATAGTAAAACATCATACAAATGAACAAGACAAATTTCATTTCATAATATACTAATCACTGGTGCTGCAAATTTTCTGATCAACTTTGAGGATTGCAGCAGGGGTTTCAAAATAGAAGAAAAACAAGAAAGGTTAATGTTGTTTCATTTTTTTCGCTGGGCAAGTGAACCACATGAACTGATGTCTCTGATACATATCTGCTTGTTGGACTTGAGGATAAAGTGTTAGATTAGATTCCTTGCTCATGAAGGGTGCAGTTAAAGAGGAGAACAGAGAACATAAAGACGATTCGCCAAATTACATAATTAATATGTGATGCAGAGGATAGATATTATTGACCTGTTTTTCATTATTATTTAAAGCAAAAGAGACTCAGATTTCTATTTTATGTTCCTCTGGTTCTTAAAACTTACTGTCTGTGTTTCTTCTGAAAGGTGTGTTTCATGTAAGAGTTTTCATCACTTCTCAATTTCACATGAAATGCTAAAATTCAAGTGGAGATACAGAAGCTTGATACAGACTGAATTGGTCAGGTTTGTGACTACCAGTTTCAACCATTGAGGTCATAAGTGCATACAATGTAGCGAAGCGAACAGTATGAAAAACCAAAGGAACTGACAGACAACAATTCTTACCTACCAGAAAGCAACCTCTTCAATGCAAATGCTAGTGTAGCAAAGGATTTATCTTATGATTAGTTCCCCAGTATTGGTTTTCATTGATGTTTGTTTCTGCCTCTTATGCACAACAAATTCCTTTGGCATATTTGTTAGAGTCAATTCCTTTAAGGTCCTCCAATTGAAAAGTGTTGCTGGTGCTTTTCAGGTTATGACAGCATCTGATTTCCAATTTCTGGAGGTTCTGCATTCCTCTAGGTTTTCCAGCACCCGGTCTCAGAATTCAAAGTGAACCAAATGTACCTTGTTCAAAAGCCCAAGATAGACTTGATACAGATACCTGGAAAAGTAGTAGGTATGCCCATCAAACACAGATATGTGGCAATGGCGATCATTTATTAGAGCTTCCATATCGTTACGCTGCTCCCGGGAGCTTGATGAGTTGCTCGACTCAAGAAGCTGCACAATCTCTGGCGCTAGCCATGTCTCTGGGTTCATTATTGACGTCTTTAAGGCTGCACTGGAAGTATTACCATACACTCCGTTTGAATTCATTCCCTTTGCAAATCCTGATGGCAGGCACCAATGCAGGCACCCAAGTTCCCAGCAATACAACTTGGAATAATATTCATAATCATTCCTTCTTCATAAAGATCATGAACATATATGAAGATCTTTTGTTGCCTCGACCAAATATGGAACCATTCATTTTTTTGGGAAAATTTGCACAAATACCACTTGAACTTTTAAACATGTATGCAATTACCACCTAAACTTTTAATTTTAAGTCAAATCATATTATAATTAAAAAACTTAACAATTTTTTTTTTTACAAAAAAGTTCAAGCATATTATCTCTCGCCTCCCCCAACATCTTTCTCCTCCAATACCAATTTGCATTTTAAGGTGAAGTCTTACCAAAAGTGGAAGATATGCTCAAGAGTGCTAAACATACCCTAGTTCTAATACATTAAAACCTAGCAATCATGTCCTTTTCCTTTTTTCTTTGTGCTAGTAAAATAAAACTTGGCAAACCATGTTATGGCTGAATTTGTTATTGATTTGCATGTGGCAATGGCGATCATTTATTGGAGCTTCAATATCGTTACGCTGCTCCCGGGAGCTTGATGAGCTGCTCGACTCAAGAAGCTGCACAATCTTTGGCGCTAGCCATGTCTCTGGGTTCAGTATTGACGTCTTTAAGGCTGCACTGGAAGTATTACCATAGCTCCGTTTGAATTCATTCCCTTCGCAAATCCTGATGGCAGGCACCAATCCAGGCACCCAAGTGCCCAGCAATACAACTTGGAATAATATTCATAATCATACCTTCTTCATAAAGATCATGAACATATATGAAGATGTTTTGTTGCCTAGACCAAATACGGAACCATTCATTTTTTTAGGAAAATTTGCATAAATACTACCTGAACTTTTAAACATGTTTGCAATTACCACCTAAATTTTTAATTTTAATTATTAATCACCTAAACTTTATAAAGTGTAGCAATTTACCACCTACGTGTACCTCCGTTAAGATTTCTGTTAAGTCAAATCATATTATAATTAAGAAAACTTAACAAATTTAAAAATAAAATAAAAAAATCAAGCATATTATCTCTCACCTCCCCCAACATCTTTCTCCTCTGATACCAATTTGCATTTTAAGGTGAAGTCTTACGAAAAGTGGAAAATATGCTCAAGAGTGCTAAACACAAGGATTAAAATATCGGCCGTGCAGATAATATCGGGCCTCCAATTTATGGATATTTCGGGGGATATATCGTTATCGTTTTAGGTATCGGGAAAAAATCAACAAAAATTACAGATATAGGCATTGAAACACATAATTTTGGTGTAAAACTTTCATAGATGTTATGTACATCATCAATGAATGTATTGAACAAATAAAACTCAAAATTTACTAATAATAAAATATACATATGATGAAATATAAGTGGTATGTAATGCGGGTTAATGAAAAGTTTGAAAATAAAATGTTGATTAGAATGAATAAACCATGCATAAATCTATAGTTTGTAATTTAGATAAGTGTCCATCTACATAATTGAAGAGCTCCTATGAGGTTCAAACAATGAGGAACAATCATCTGGATTCATACAATAGTCATACTAAGTCATGTAACCCCGAGCAGTTTGTAAGCCATTTTTGAACATGGTGCACATAGGTCTCTCTTGAGCTCCCTACTGTCCTCCCATATATGAGATAGTTAGGATTAACCCAACTAGTAGGTCCATAATATGTTTCATCATCTTGAGCTCCATAACTAGTTCCACTAGAATCAGACATGACATAACCATAGCCATCATCAGGGACGGATCCACAGAGGAGCAAAGGTGGTCAAGTGACCCTTGCAACTCTGGGATCTGCCATTAGAGGGGAGAAAATTGACCCCTACAAACTGCTCGACGAAAGTCCCCATAGAGCGCGCAGCGCTGCTCCTACCCAGCGCGCAGCATCCTCCAGCACGCAGCGCTGCTTGCGCTTCCTTGTTTCTTTTTTCCCTTGAAGTCAAAACGACGTCGTCCTATATATATTATGTATTTAAAAGCCTATGTCTATGTTATATATTATATGGTTCTTTGTCTGCTGGTCCAATCAAAAGCTTTTCTTCTTTTTTATTCCCACAGCTGAAGACACGCGCATGCATGATGTGTCCCACTTCCTTTTTTATTTATTCTTTATGCCCTTTTGTTCCTTCATTGCTACTTCTGGTCCACTTTTTCTTCTGTATTTTTTTCATCTCAAATTCCCTTTGGTTTGTGTTTCATTTCCTCCTCTTTGCTGTAGTTTCATCTCAAAACGACACCGTCTAGGACCAGGTCACTTTACTTTTTTTTATTTTATTATCATGGCCTTTTGGACAGGTTTTTTTAAAATTCCGAAATATGCATATAACAATCTAATAAACATGTTCCTCATAATTTTTTTTAAAATTAATAATGAAAATGTCCTTTAAAATATATCACATGTTCAACGTGTGACTTTATTTAATGGAAATTTTAATAGAGTTACAAGTAGGATAAATTGCTACACTTTGCAAAGTTAAGGTGGATGATAATAAAAGTGTTTAGTTATGTAATTAGCATGCCCCTGACTCGAAGTAGAGTAAAATTTTAGTCTCTGTGCTGGATAATAAAGTAAATAAACAACATAATACTAAGTGATCAACTTTCTTATGGAATACCAGAATGTTAGTAGTATTCCCTTAAAGCCAACTAATTATATGATAATTAATATTAAAGACATCTTTTGTAATAACTTATTGTCTGCCGCACAAATCTCATGCCCTGGAGTTCCGGGCCGAGGGGATATGCGTTGACACGCGGCTTCCTGCTTTTGGATGCGGTGCGATTGTGCGCAGGCGTGCCAGCACGGTTTACCGTGCGTCGAGATGTGGTTTGGATGGAAGTGGTGAAATGGTGCGCCTGTTTGGACTTGACTTCTAATCAAACGATTGTGGCCGAGAGAGGAACTAATCTCGGCCGTCAGGTTCACGGCCTGAGCTACAAGGCCGTTTAGTGGTGGTGTTGATGGTGGTTTTAGGGCGGTGCTCCGGCGCGCTGCTCAGTGAGCGACGGTCGTATGATATATGGGGTGAATGAGCGAATAACAGAGATGGTGCTCCGGCTCCTTGAAAAATAAGGGTCGTATGATATATTGATGAATGGATTTTCCTTACAAACTAACACTACTCCTAGAAAAGCAAGTAAAGATATTGAAAGTGCATTACAGGAAAA